GAAGGCTCAAGAATGGACAAACCTGAAGACCCACACAGGGGTTATATCAGTACAGGAAATACAGTCCATGAGACCAACTCCCCCAAAATCCAAGTATAAACCTGCAAGAACTGCCTAGATCTGGGACTCACGCTCTCCAAAGCCCTCAGCTCACTGAACTAAAGCACAATTCCTTGAACAACAAGCACTGATGGTAAGAATTACACCATGGTTTGGGTTGGGAGGGACCTTAAAGCCCATCTCATTCCAGCCCCTGCCATGGGCAGGGACACCTCCCACTAGCCCAGGTTGCTCCAAGCCCCGTCCAACCTGGCCTTGGACACTTCCAGGGATCCAGGGGCAGCCACAGCTTCTCAGGGCAGTCAATTTACCACAGTTAACACATGGCCCCGTGCAAAACAAGAAAAATGTAGACAACAAAACATGGTTTGTGATGCACCAAGTTTCTACCTGTCAAGCCCTAAGCAGCATCTCTACAAGGACACTCAGCACCTCAGAGACAAGGAGAACAGCAAAACACCAAAGGAAAAGCTGCAGACAAAACAAAACTACATTTTCCAACTTAACTGGGTTGTTTATTAGATACAGGCATCTTCTGCTCAGTGTGCTTATGCAATATCCTGTTATATACATCATTCTACACCCAGGGAGAATGGCAGCAGGACACTGATAAATGGATAAACATCAGCCACATTTTGGATACCACACACACCAAATATTACTTGGGAGACAGGAAAGAACATAGAAGACTTCTAATCTTTCTTCACGAGAAATAATGTGTCTCTTTAGTCAGCTGTGAAGAGTGGAAGATTCACATTCACAGCATCAATGAGTAAGTAAAATGCATATGCTCCACCAGGGGATAATTTCTGTCTTCCCATCAGAGGAAAAGTAAACACACTCCTGCCCTCACTCTTCCTCCAGGGCTCTGCTGCATGGCTCCCCTAAAGAGAGCAGGTAATGCACAGCTGGGGGAGCACATCTGCAACAACACACCCTTCATGTGCCAGAGGGATTGTGACAGCAGGCAAGGAGAGGCTGAACTCAGGGGTCTGGCTGCAGAGCTCACGGACAGGGAGCAAACCTCTCCCAGCGACACTAGAGATGTTAAATCCCCCTGAGCAACACTGCAGATATAGATCTCCCAGCTGTACACTTCGCTTACAGGTTGTCTGCACTGCTCCTGCACGTTCCCAGAGCACTGCCACCGAGCTCTGAGGCACGCACAGATCCACTGCTCACAATCCCACTCGGCTGGCAGCGAGCCCTGCTTTCGGTTTATGGAGGTGGCAGGGCTTGGAAGAGCAGACAAAAATAAACTCTGATTTGCAGAGCAACCAGCAATGAAAAGATTTTATTGAAGCTCTCAAAACATTCAGTCCTACCTGGCCTATGAATGAAAACACAGCTCCCTTCTCTTCCTTGTTAAAAATGGAAGACTCCCGAGCCTCGGGACGTGACATTCCAGTTTTCAGATGCGTGAAAAAAAGGAAAACACAAGCTACAGCCTCCTGTGACACCTAATAAAGTGCTGTCTTCCTCACTTTTTCAGCAGCATCACTTCTGTGCAGAAATTGGTTTAAAGAATCCCCTGCATTTTCACCTGCTAATTTTGACAAACACTGAGAAAAATCTGTGTCGATACTGAACAACCTCAGCCCCCACCAGCCTTTAGCTTAGCAAACACACACATCCATAGAACCTGCAGCACTTTATTAACTTCACAGAGCTCACTCTTCTGTTTATTAATGTCACAGAGCTCACTCTTCCACCCCCAGAGGTGTTTCCACAGCCTGCCTGGCACAACACACTGGATTTTCTACCCAATCTCAGGGAGAGGAAAAACCACATTCATCACCCCAGGTCCACACAGCTCTTGCTGTAATTGCCTCTTAACAATTACAGGACACAGTTTTGAGCCTCTTTTTATCCTGAAGTTACAGATTTTCAGGAATGACGTGCAGGCAGGAGCATGATGCCAGGACAGCCCCCCTGCCTGGGCAGGAGCCCTGGTGCAGCAGGGAACATACCTGAGGCTGTGCTGCTCCTTCTCCCACGGGCACACTGGGACGAGAGCAGGTCCCCCAGCAGCAGAAATAAAACCTTTTCCTTGGCAGAGTGCAGCTGAACTGACAATGCCACTGGAGAAAGATTTCAATCACAACAAAGGGCTAGGAAAAAAACTCCCAACCAACCTATTTATTAGAGATATTGCAGGTTTGTGCTCAGCTCCAAGCTCTGAGGAGCAGACAGGACAGTCATCTCCTCTTTGTTTCCATCTCCTAGGACTATTTTTACATCACACGACTTCCCAGCTCTGCTGTAACAGAAACTAACAGTGTTTGATTATCCCATCAGGGCATCTGTAATTCAGACAAAAAGCAGCCTCAGAATTTACCTCACTCCCTGTTGCAGGGCTTAATTAACCTCAGTTCCTTAACATCAGCCAGAAGATGCATGAAAGCATCACTTCTAATATTAAAGCTATTTTCCCCATAATAAAACATGGAGGTAAAGCAACAGGCACCTACGTGACAATGAGGGCTGTGATGAGAAAGTCTCAACCAATTCCCTGATGTTTGAGACTCTGGACATCACTATCCCCACTGCTAAACAGGGAGAGTCCTGCTGCCATGAGAGGCACTCAGGGCTGATCTCCAGTGAAACCAGCCCAGGCTCCAGATATTAAAGTACACAAAGTTTCTTGAGTCATTTCACTAATCAAATGTTGTTTTACCTTCTCCAGGAAAGCATCTAAGATGCAACATGAACACCTTCCTGGGAAGGGGGGCAGAGGGAATGCAGGTATTTATTTCCAGAGCACTCAGAGCCACTTTCAGGGTTTTATTTGCCTGAGTGAGTGTATTTAAGTGCCACCTGCTCATCCTGTAGTGCTGAGCAGTGAAGAGCAGGAGGGGTTGCATCACCTTCCTGTGCAAGTGCAGCCATCTCAGCCACAACAGGCTTTCCCATGCCAGCACAACTCAGGAGTCTGTTGCAAAAAACAGTCCAGAAGTTTTCTGTCTTTAAAATAACTCCCAAAGAGCCACTTGGTCAAAGGTCAAGTAAAGCAGAACAGCAGGAACAAGAAGACCACAGGACATCTCTGATAATTAGAGACCACCAGCCTTTCCAAATCTCCTCAGACAGTGACTGACTATTGCCTGGAGCTGCCACTATTCCTTCAATCAAATCCAAGCCTGCTACAGCTCCAGTGTGGAATTTTCTTGAGTAGGCAGTTCAGTAAAAAACAAGGAACAAGCTGCTTTTTCTAAGTGTTATTTCCAGCATCTTTTTACTATGGCTTTAAGTGGAGTAGCAGAGACATCAAAATATTTCAATCAATAGCTGTGAAAAAGAACACAGCATTCCGTGATACAGCTAAAGGGGAAGAGCAAGAACATGGATTTCTCTGGAAACATTTACAAGAGATTCTATTTCCAAATATCCACATGGCTAAGCACTCCAGGCAATGAAACATTCTTGTTAATGAAACTGTGAGCTAAGCTAACTTGGACAATAACATCTCCATAAAGCTTGATTGAACATTTTTTATACCCATCATTACAAGAGCCTGTCTATATCCCAGTGTCTTTTGCAGGAGGCTCTTCAATTGGACTTCCCAACATGCATGCAAGTCAATCCAGAGGCATTCACACAGATCAGGGCCAGCTGCTGCCAGCAGCCAAAAGATCTCAGCCTGAGAGAGTTGGGGCTCTTTAGCCTGGAGAAGAGAAGGCTCCAGGGAGACCTCAGAGCCCTTCCAGTGCCTAAAGGGGCTCCAAGAAAGCTGGAGAGGGACTTTGGACAAGGGATGGAGTGACAGGACAAGGGGGAATGGCTTCCCACTGCCAGAGAGCAGGGTTAGATGGGATATTGGGAAGGAATTCTCCCCTGTGAGGGTGGGGAGGCCCTGGCACAGGTTGCCCAGAGAAGCTGTGGCTGCCCCATCCCTGGAAGTGTCCAAGGCCAGGTTGGACGGGGCTTGGAGCAACCTGGGCTAGTGGGAGGTGTCCCTGCCCCTGGCAGGGGGTGGAATGAGATGGGCTTTAAGCTTTGCTCCTGTGCTCCAGTCGTCCATTAACATACCACCTTAATCCCTCTGGGACAAGACACTCTGTCCACATCATGTGCTCTGAGTGACTTGCACACATGATGACAACCAGCACAAGTGGTTTCCACCAGAGCTGCTCCGTGCAAGCTGTGCCAGCGTCACTGCAGGCTGTGCCAACACTTCCCAATGCCGCCCTGGCAGCCTCCAGCAGCTATTCCTGGGACCTATTACTCTGCACATCAACTCCAGTACTTGGAGACACAGCAGTGCCCAAACAATGGCTTTGGAGATGTTTATAAAACAAAGTTGTGTAGAATGGAAAACACAGGAACATACACTGAATTATTCTGGTGTGGGTTTGGAGACAATTTTAGCAGTGTATTTGACTAAACACTGTACACTCACATATCCCAAGGGATGACTTTCAGAAAATAAAGCTCTCTTTTCATGTGTTTATGTAGGACAGCTTCACACCATACAGTATGATCCCATTCCTCTGGCTACAGTGCAGGCAACATCTCCAGTTCTCCTACAAAAAAAATCCTCATTTTACTTTATGGCTTTTTTCCTTCCAGCTGTTGCAGGAATGATAACTTCCTGGTCAAACTGTAAAGCAACACTTTTCACTTCTTCTATTAGCATGACGAAAATATTCAAGTGAGACAGCGTAAGAATGGTTCTTATGTCATTTACTTGTTCCTTGTTACCACAATTCCCACAAATGGGGCAGTTATACCTGAGCAGCTTCCATTTCTTTCCACCTTCATAAGGGAAACTACCACTTTTTTTGTGGCTGTCAGACCAAGAGGAAAACTTTTCCAGGTCAAGTGACCTCTGGGAAGCCTGAGAAGGTGGTCTGGACTTTGGTGGAGATGCCGTTGAACCCTGAGAACCTCCTCAGCAATTATTAAAATACATGGAAAACAGGAACACCCACACATCACACGACTGTGCCCTAAAGCCAAAGGGGTTTAGATTGCTCAGCTTATTTGAGAATTATTTTGGGGGAGGTAGTGTCTAATTATGCAGTTAAACCTGCCAGCCAGAATCCAACCACTATCTTATTCTACCAGTTAGGAACAAAAGGTCTCTGAAAGGACAGTGGGAATTAATTTATGGCAATAAGTTGTTATGATGAACACTTGCTGATGAGTTTGAAGAGTGCTTGACTGCATTTCCAACAGCTCCAAGCTCCTTCAGGCTCAGCCTAAGTTGACAAGAGCAGGTTAACAATAATCTCTGGTGAACTTGTTTCCCTGTTTTAATAACACCTGTGATATCCCGGAGATGTGTACACATACTTTTAATGTTTGGGACAGCATTGGAAGAGCAAAAGTTATTCCCTTCTGCTTTACTTCCCCCTTCTTTCCATCAGCCATGGAACAGGAGGATCCATCCACACCTTCACACACACAAAGTGTGCATACCTTAGAGACAGTGAGTTGGAAAACACTTGGGATACTGCAGTTTGCTCCTAGGCAGGATGTGTCATGTGAGCAAAAGCTCTTTTTCTGATCCCTCTAATGGTCTCATTTTACAAGGCAGTGTCAGCAAACCTGCAATTTCAGTTTTCCCTTCATTAGGGCTCAGAAAGCCATCTAAGTCCTTCCCATGTGATATTCTTCGACCCCCTGGGGTTCAGCTGAATGCTCAAAGCCAAGATGAAAACTATCTAGGACCATTAAAAAAAAGATCCCATCAGAAGGCACTCCCAGTTTCCAGAGTGACTCACCCCTCACTCCTGAGGCACATGGAAAAGGCAGCCACAGTCCAAGACATGCTCCTATAAGGTCAGAGACACTAGAAGCCAAATTTTGATGCTGGGCAGCTGCCTGACCAGGCAAATACTGCTTTTTCATTTAACACACTTTATTATATCTCCTAATACAGCCCCTTTCTCCCCCTGCAAGGGTTCCTATGGAGCTGCTTGTCTCCCCTCCTTCCCAGTCGGAAGATACTTCTCCAAAGACAGCCTTTTAAAGGGAACTTTTTTTAATTCTACATGAGAAGTGCCAGTAGCAAATAACACAGCAGAGCAGCAGCATATGGCACAACATAAAGGTGGCACCACCAGCTTTGTCTTTTATCTAAGGAGCTTATAAAGAAGCGAGTCCTTCCATCTCCTCTCGTGGCAGCCAGGGCAGGTTATCAGATCCACTGCATTCCAGGTTGAGCAGGCTAAAAAGCCTTGTCCTGGAGAACCTACAGCTTGAAGCTGGAGCCAATTCCAAAACAGCTTCCAAAATCCATCCCACGGTTATTTATTCCAAGGTAAGCTGTTCCCATCAACCCCGGAAATTAAGGAATCTACAAATGAGGTGACAGGCAGCATCGGGTGCCGTTTTAAGGAGGGAGGGCTGTGCCACGCCTTAATCACTTCCACTGCAGCCACTGAAGGAGGAAACTCACGTTTTAGGAGACAAATATTTCTGTCTGTGACTTGTTTAGAGAAATAAACATCGAGTAACAAAACACAGGAGACTCATATTTGCAAACAGCCCTGGCATTGCCTCTTGCACTGGGAGCTCTGGAAGGTTACACTTTACTGTAGCAGCGTTGCTGCTTTAAGACAGAAATAGAAAAACAGGCCTGATTACGCATTTTCTTCAATAAATAATGCAAAAAGCCTCCGCACTTCTGTGAAGGGAAATCCAAAGCAGGGTCACTTCGGAGAGCACCCCCCTTCCACAGATGCTAGAGAAACAGCTCTGCCAACTCACAGCCACAGCTGCTTTGCAGAGCAGACTCCCAGCAAATCTTAATTTTACTTTATCATCATTACTATCAGCATTTATAATTAATGACACGCAAAGAGAACTTACTATGCAAGTCATCATGGAAAAAACCCACAGCAGTGTAAGTTTTGGAAGGCAGAGCACTTCAATCCTGCTGCTGGCAGAACTGATTGCAGCCTGGGTTTTACTACGTCCAGCTCTATGTACCTCTGCCTAAAAGAAACCTCTGCCTGCTAATAAATCCACAGGGAATTATAAATCCTGGCCACTAGGAAGAGAAAGCAGAAGGTTTTTTCCCAGGGGCACAGAGCTCCTCTGAAGGACTCCCAGGCCAGGGACACGCGGAGTTACAGCTGCTGCTGCTCCACATGCTTGGGGGAGACAGGGGATTGCTGCAGGATGTTTTCACGAGCTGAACATTAGTCAGCACGAGCATTTAACAGCTCCAGCTACACGAAATAAATAGCTTGACCTCTGCTCCCTCCCAGCACCTCCTCGTGCCCGAAGGACAAGTGCAGGGTGTTGGAATTGCTTCCCTCCTCCAGCCCCTCTCCCTGCTCAAATAGCTGGAAAGGCATCGGTGCCACTGCTGTGCCAGTGCTGAGCTGCCAGGGGAGACCAGCACAGTGCCCAGGCAGCACTGAGGGGTCACCTGCAGCTCACTGCCCACCTCTGCTCTGCTGGCTCCACACGGAACACCGAGCGTTCCCTACTCGGACACCCCGGAGGAACGGCCAGGACAGAGCGGGCAGAGCTCCAGCAGCACAGGGTTGGTGAGCAAGGACTTCTTGAGAGGTTTCCTCAAGCCACGCAGAGCCAAGAACACAACACACTGAGCAGCATTTATGGCACAGAGCTACAACACTCGCTGCTCCACAACACTGTGGGAAACAGTTTGAGACACAAACGAGACCACAGGGGTTTTGTCAGGTTACTGACACGGCCAGAAAGCAGTTTTCTGTTTGAATTGAAAAATTCAGCTATGCCTTTTTAACAGGATTCCAGGTTTTTTTAGAAGTCATGCTCGGGTTACTCATTTCTTCCTAATTTCATGGTAGAATCCCCAAATCCTCAGTTTTTCTTTTAAATGATTCCTTAGAGCCTCAGCTGTTCTGGGTAGCAGCACACAGTCAAAACGTTAAAGAAAAACAGCATAACATCAAAAATCAGATTTGCTAAGTCCCATGATTTTAGGACAACACCAGGAAAAACAAGTCAGCTCCCTTTTTTCTCTCAAATTCCAGCAGTTTCACATCTCCATTTCAGGCAGGCTTAGTACCTCAACTGACCTGCATTTTCCAGTGCAATATATTTATTCCAAAGTAGTTCAGGCATCCAGGATCCTGCTAATTACAATTTTTTTTCCTCCCTACACAGAAATACACTTTCTTCTTGTCTCTGAGGAGTAACAGATCACATCTAGATTTGTCCCCAGGAGGATTCTTCCAGTGTATGCTTGTGTCAAAGCAGCAGAGATGATGAAATAACGAGTTTTTATATCTTTTTCACTCCAGGATGCCAACCAGTTTCTTACCAACAGCTCTGAAAGCAGGAGCTGAAGTAACTGATGGGCTGCAAAGCCCTGCAGAGGGACTAAGTACATTAAAGTCTCAACGTGCTCCACAGCCAAGTGTCACAACAGACCTTTAACAGAGTATTAGCTCACAGTACACTGCTATTTGTTCCTCAGCATTCCACACCACAGCTCGTGGCTTTCAGGGTGCAATCTGTTATTATATTTATTCAGTGTAATCAAAGCCTCACACTATGTTGCAAACCTGTCCCACTGATTCTTCTTTTACACAAACAGAGAGCAAGTTTGCAGACAATCTGTTGACTACAAAATACTTCTTTGCAAAGATTACTTTTGATGCTTTTGTCTCAGAAATTGTCCCCCTGTGCTGGCACTGCTGAGGGACCTCGAGGGGGTCGGGCTCTGCTGCCAGGGAACAAGGGACAGGAGGAGAGGGAACGGCCTCCAGCTGTGCCAGGGGAGGCTCAGGTTGGCCAGGAGGAGGAATTTGTTGCTGGAAAGGGTGGTGAGGCCTTGGCAGGGGCTGCCCAGGGAGGTTTGGAGTGCCCATCCCTGGAGGTGTCCCAGGAAGGCCTGGCTGTGGCACTCAGTGCTCTGGGACAAGGTGGGCATCGGGCACAGGGGGGACTCCACGGGCTGGGAGGGCTTTTCCCACCTCCAGGATTCTGTCATTCTGTGACCCCAGCAAAACATTTTGGTTCCTACACCATTTTGGCCTCATTTTTTAATAGAGATTTTTGTTTTAAACAGTTGCAGACATTCCCCCCCCCCCCCCCCCCCCCCCCCCCCCCCCCCCCCCCTCATTCTGGAAGGAATCACACTAAATTCTCCCCTGCACATCAGCAGTGCCATTGTACCTTCATCTTTGTTCACATCTGCTGCTGCAGCACCAGGCACAGAGCAGTGCCCAGGCAATAGTACCTACTACTACTTGCACAAGCTGTGGCACTCCCAGAACCACGATAAGCCTCCAACTGCTGCCAGCACAGTGAATTATTCATCAGATCTTTTCAGAGATATGTTATCCAAACAACCAAAATTTCCTGCTCTCCACTCTTCTCCCTGGATCTTTTGCTAGATGATTTTCAAGCCAAGTTTTATAAAATTGGGAAGCTTGGCTAAAAATACATATTATGTGCAAGAACTTGAAAGCCACAAGAAAGTGCAGTAAAATCACGTAAAATTAGTAAAGCATCAAGAAAGCAGTTTAAGAGATGAAACAAGCACTCTGCAGACCTGCACCAAAGGACACACAGGTGAAGAAAGTTTCCCAATGCTCTTCTAGCAAATTCTGCCCACATTTATTTAAACATGCAGAGACTGATTCAATTCCTCTGCAAAGCCCTCAGACTTCCCACTGATTCCACCCAGCAATAAACACGACCTTGCCAGTATTGCTGCTTATCTCATCCCCAGCCCTTCCCTGCAGGAAGAAGACAAGCTTCCAAAGGATAGCAGGTCTCCTGTATCAGTCAGAAGCCAAGTGCAGAGACTGAAGTACTGGGGGTCATCTCTGAAGTGTGGCTCACCTTAAGTCATCTGAACAAAACAACTGCATAGCAGAGGGACTGGGCAAAGCTCAAGGAATGCAAAAAGCCTTTCCCCCCCCTTTTTAGAAAGTGCATGGAAAGCCAAAATGAGTTCAGCATCCTGTTGGGTTACAAAGCTAAAAAATAATCCATGTTTGGAGAAACTTCTTGTGTACACTCAATTTAGGAAAAGGTATGTTATGAGGTGAACAAAATTCCTTTTTCCGGCAGAAGAGAATAAAGTTACTCACATATGGTAACACAACAACCATTAGAGTGTTCCCCACTTTTTGGGAAAGCCTGTCCATCACTTACCTCAACATTCCAAGCTTTGGAACTTTTATTCAAGTCTGAACTGGGGAATACTACCATCTGGGGGGAGGAATAAGCAACAAAAGCAACACAGAGCAGTGCTTGAAAAAGCTGCCACCTCTCAGGAACACACAACATGCCAACAATTACACGGAGGGGAAGGAAATAGAAGTGTTCTCTCTGGCAAAGATAAACACTTCCTTCCCAAAATGCACAGCCCTGCTCTATAATCAAGGCAGTAATGATACAGGGAAACAGAACGATGGGAACAGTGGCTACAGTCTGAACAAGAAGCTCTAGTCCAGCACAACAGGTTCCATATCCAAAGGCTAGGTAAAAGCATCCCTGGATTAAGGCATTTGCCAAGCAGCCACACAAATAAAAGTCTTAAGAGATTATAGAGTTCCATCTGAGGAGAAGGGCAGAGGGTGAGGGCTATTCCAAAATCCCCCGGGTTCATTCTGCACTGATGGGCAGAAGCCACACTCACACCATGACAGTGAGCTCGAGCAACGCTGCTCTGACCCCAAGGCTTCGAGATTCAGAGCTGCCAACCAAAAACATTAAAAAGGTGTAATCACACAGTTATTTCTACATGTTCCTGGAAACATCCCGACCTGGTGTGTCACACCGAGGCTTTCAAGGCAGCCGCTGGAAGGTGTAATTCCAGGGGAGTTCAAAGTCTCAACTCTGAGTCCTCCTTTAAAGGTCAAAGATATTTACTGTTGATACTGGAGCATCACTGAGGTGCCAACTCTCATCTCGGGCAACACTCAGGATTCCTTCATCACTTCAGATTAGAGCAGTGCTGAAGGACTGACCCTGACTTTTAAGGTATCAAAATTCAACAACAACTTGTATAGAGTTCTACTAGAAATACTGACCGTGTTCCTCTCCTTAAAAACCTTTCCTCAGCAGAATCATTTATTAAAATTCACAACTGGCATGAAACCAGAAGCTTCTCCACTCTTCAGTGTGGACAGGAGCTGTGTTGGTCTAAACAAGCTGACCATACACAAGGGCTTATTCCCTGACTTCACAGGACACTGGCAGTTGTCAGGTTGCAAGGATGTTTCTATCCCATTTAGAAGATTAGGAAGCGTGTCAACATGAAAATTTGTTAAGATTGAGTGACATTAGACTAGGCTACAATGTCAACAGAAACTAGAAGGCAGCATATCAGAGGAGCTGGGACGACAAGGAAGGGGAGAGGGAGAAAGGAATCACTATTGTGACATTCAGCACAAAGGCCATTGGAACACAGGTCACGGAAAACCAGTGGGAAAATCATCACTGGTTGACAGGGACATCCATGACTGGGGTTGGGAGACAAGCACGTGCCACCCAAAGCAGCCTCTTCCCAAAACTGCAACCATCCTCCAGAAATCCAGCACTCGGGATGGATGGATGGATCCTCCCAGGAACTCATCCCAGCATCTGCCTGGCAGGTTTAACTTCATCCTACTTATTCACCTGCTGCAAAAGAACACTCCTTGGCAAGTCTTGGCTTATGAAGAGACCCAATAAGAGCTAAACCAACCAGTCTCAGTCCTTGAAGACAAGTAATGTCTGTTTTCAGAAGAGCAAAGACAACTCTTGTCGCAGCACAGAGACTGAAGAGACCAAGATTTACTCCAGTGCAGCAGCTCTTTGGCACAGCTAGAGAGAAACTATCAAAATTAAGGCCCACTAGCTCAGCTCAAGCAGTTAGGAGGTTTCTGGTCCTGCTGTTATGGTGAAAAAAGGATTCAAAGGTTTGAGAGTTACTGAAATGTTCATATGGAAAACAACTACCTGTGTATTTTGCTGTGTGCAGTTACTAACAGGAGTGTTTTCTGCCTGCCAAAGTATTTCCATGTAAATATCTCTCCAGGATTTTTTCCAAATAACTATGACTACGAGCTGGAACTGTCTCTGGCTCCCACCCTCTTACCTGAGCACGTGCATTTATCACTAACTTCTGTAGTAATTTACATGGAATAAACCACTTCAGAGGACTCAAACACCAGCCCAGGAGAAACTTCCTTGTGAAGAAATGAAGTGGAAATCATGATTAACGTACCTCCTAACCCAGGGAAGACAGGAGGTGAGAACCCAAAGGACAGAAAGCAGCAGGGTGATATCGTGGTCGATATTATCTGTTGATTGCCCCGTGGGCACCTCCCCAGCAGCCACCCCCCACCCCGTTCCACTGCTCCCTCTGGCCACAGCCACGACTCCATCAGCAGCACTTTGCTGCTCCACTGCCTCAGCAACACCAAAAGCGACTGGATTAAGTTAGACTTTGCTCCCCTTTTTAAAAGGCAGGCAGTGTTGCAAGTCACTGAAGGCAAGATATTCAACTTCCTTGATTATAAAGCCTCCTGAGCTTCAGGATAAAGGGCTTAGGAGGAGGGGGTTGGCTTGGTGAGGTGCAGCAATCAGTACATGTTCTGCCTAAAGCACCGTGTCATTTCAGGCTAAAGAACAATATTATGCAGATTTCTTTTTTGATTCAAAGCTCAGCCACCAGTTAAGCTGCTCACAGGCAATGCAGTGTCTCTAAAAAACCCCCAGTGTCCAGGACTGCAGAGTAAGTCAGCATTTAACTCCACAACTCCATGGCAAGTATATTCCAAGTAAAACCTCCAACAGTCAGATTAGGAAGACTGGAGAAAAAAATAATCAAGGGGTTTCTCCACGGGGACACAAGCAAGAAAGCTAAACCAAGGCAGGGCCATTTTGGTTTAGAGCACCTTAATTGAAGAATTACATCAGGCTTAGCATCCCTGAAAGTTCCAGAGGCTTAAATTCTGTTCTGACACTATGGCTGAATCCTCACTCAAAATAATTCATCATTAGAGACAAGTACTCGCATGGCCAGCTGTCATAAGACATCAAAAACTCCTGGTGATATAGGAACTGGATGCTGCAGAACTCAATTCAAGCTTTAAGAGGCTTTTCCTCCAGGAAGCAGCAGCTCAAATTGCAAGATTAGTCATGCTTACAAAAGCACAGGGACAGCTCCACACACACACCACTGAAAGGGAAAGCCCAGGCCACACAGGCATTCCTGGAGAGGAAAAAGCCTTGCCCTCAGCAAAGGGCAGAAAACAGGATTTTTAAAAATCCTTTGGATATATTTGTACCATTAATAATATTATTTCCTCTGTCAGATACCATTTAATCAACAGGGTTTTTTCTGGTCTCCTCTTTTTTTCTTTTTGTGGACATTCATGTTTTACAAGAAGTGCCTCAAATCCCAGACAAATTCAAAATACTGACTCTGTGTCTACATATATATATATATATATATAAAAACACTTGCTATTTTGAAGTGAAGGCTGCAAACTTGCAAGCACCTTTGTCACCATGGTTATATCAGCTCAGAAAAGGGAATTGCTTTTACCTGGAGTTTCTATTAAGGTGAATTTGTTCCAAGGGAAAGCAAGAGTGGGTTTTGGTTGGTTGTCTAACATTTGTTTTCTCTAATCATCCCAGTGTTTCCAAGGCTTTATGGAAGAGGCAGCACATTCATTTCCAAGTGTTGCAGCCCTCTGGCTGCACTGGGAAGAGAGAGTAAATAATGACTTGAAATGGACTCCAAGCTCAAACACCTAAAGACAATCCCCCACCCCTCTGCACTGCTGTTCCATGAGGCTCAGGTCTCCCCTGCTCTCCTGCCCCGTTACCCCAGAGCACATGGAAATGATTCCCTCCAAAGCCAGGCAGACTGGCCAAGTCAGAGCTCCTAATGACATCCACATTTAGCATCCTCCCAGCCAAGGAGGGGTGGGGGAGGTAACACACCCAGTTAAGAGCAGAGGAGGGCACTTGTTTTCTCCTTCCAGCAGGTGCAGCTCACCTCCCAGTTACCCAATGCATAATTACACAAGGTGCTCACAGCACCCATGGTTACTGCCACCCTGGATCTCTTCACACAGTGCATTCCTCTTGGCAGCTCCATTTATGCAGTTTTGGGACATGCACAGTGTTTTTCCGGGTGCAGGGGATCACAGGAGAGGGATCAAAGCCCTCACACTCCTGTTTTAAGGCTCATTCTGTTGGGTTGGGGTTTGCAGTTGGCAACACTGTGAAGATCTTTTGCTACAAGAGGCAGTTTATATTGATTTAAAACTAGTGGGCCATTGCAATCAGTAATTCCTGCCTCAGTGAGGGCTGCCTTGGCCAGGAGTACAGACAGAGCCTTTAAACAAACCAACACTTTGAGCCCCCAGGTCAGATACAGCCGTCGAGCACGCGCTGGAGCACAGATGCCACCAGCAACAACCCCAGTGAGTGACACTGCTGTCCCACAGCCCAGGCTGGTGCTCTCTGCAAGGCTGAACTTGGCAAAACACTTGCCAGGCACTAGAGACAGGTTAAAAAAAAAAAAAAAATAAATAAAAAAGAGAGGTAAGTATCTGTCAACTCCACAAATCAGAGAAGCTCATCACTGGCCTTGACTTCAACCTTTCGACAGTTCCAAAAACTCTCAAACAGGATATTCAAGTAGGGCTGAGCAGACAATCACAGGAAATTAATTTTATATTCTGCTAGAGGGAATGAGGCAGCTTCTTTCCAGCTGAGAGCATATAATTATTTGGCACCAAGTGGCTCCATCTCAGAAGCTACGACAGCAGCTGCACAGTCCCTTTTAGCAGGGTAAGTTTATTTTTCCTCTGTCTCAAACCTATTGGTTCTCCAATATAAGCTGTTGGGAGGATTTGGGATTCTGGATTCTTTTCCATACAAACAATTTTGCAACACACCAACTCCAGTCAGACCAGACAAGCCACTAAGGACACATCAGGGCCAACACCACAGCACAGCCCAGGCTGGACAGGACCTCCAAGACCCCCAAAGCTCTTTTCCTCTTTTACTCCAGCATTAATACGGAACGTAACAGCTCAAAATACATCTAACAGACTCTGAAAGGAAGAACATCTGTCCTTATCCGAGGACACGACAAGAGGATGGTGACCACAGCTTTTATCTCCCCAGAGCAGGACGACTAAGTTAAAAACCCAAACCGCCCCCTTCTTAACCGTGCAGTGAAGCTCAACTGGGTCTACACTAATCTGCTTTCAGAAAAATATTGTTATGCTGTAGGAGGAAGGACTTCCATGCTTTTCAATAAATGCATTGTTTAGAAGAGAAGCTGTTTAGAAGAGATTTATTAACAAAAACTATTATTATTAATGAGACATGACCAACCACAGCAACATCTCATTAGTCCACGTATTGATTTTGTTTCCAAGGCAAATTTCAAGCAAAATTCTGAGACTAAACTTTTTTTTTTTCAAGATGGAGACTCAAATAAGGTTTCCTGTCCAAAACATTTAGAGATGTCATTATTTTTCCAAGCTGCCTCCAATGAGTAACTTGAGGGGGAGGTTGTTTTTGTTTTGTTTTTAGAACCAGAACTAGTTACGGCCTCTCTATAAAGCAGAAAGAGGATTTCAGAGCAAGTAGTTCTGGTGCCAATATTGCAAAAATAAGCAACTTGCATAATCTCCGAAGCATTCATATGGAAGTTCTCCTTCAGAAAGAGGCCTTTGATGATGCTGTGGTTTTGACAGCAAGATCCTTATATGGATTCAAACCCCACAACACGTTTCATACAGAGCAGCAATTGTAACACCAACCGCTGAGAACGTGCTGAATGAATGGAGGCCAGAACCAAGAGACCCATGGAGGCCTTGGGGTTCCTAACTTGAAAGTTTCATACCAGAAACACCAGAGGGTTTTGGCAGAGCTTTTGGTTTTATTTAGACACAGGCAGCTTTCGTAAGAACAAGCTCCATGCCAAACGAGCTCCCGGCCAGGGATGTGCCCAGAGAGCAGCAGGGGCTGACCAAGATGGGGGTCTCTGCTGTTCTTCAGAAGCTGGACATCAACCTCCAGAGACAGGGAGTGCAGCACCCATCTCCTTAGTGCTTGTAATGGAGGCAAGATAAAAGAAGTGTCATTTCTGAGAAGCGACATCAGTGCGAACAGTGTTACATCAGCAGGAACAGGCTGCACAGCTCCTTGACAGGAGCTTGAACTCTTCACCTGTTAAAGCCACTCAGCACATACATCTGTACCTGAGCTTTCCTTGTCCCTAAAGCCCCGTGTCCATGACATGGCTAAGAACCACACAGACACTACACAGGATTAAGGGCAACAACTCCATTAGTGTCCCTAATATTGCAATTCCCCTGCAGCTTTACAAGGAAAACACGAACTGGAGACTTGGTGTGTTTATTGCATACCAGCTGTGCTTCCCAAACCTCCAAAGGAGCAAACTGGTTGGAAAACAGAGGAGCACAGGCACTGTGGAACCCCCCAAGTGCCCGTGCAGTTACTCACTGTGCTCCCCAGGCAGTCCTCCTGGTGGGGAATGAAACAGCATTCCCCTTGTTCCAGAGGGCTCAGAGCTCCCATGCCAGACGCTGCGGAATGCAAGGAGCCAGCACAGGGCTCCTGTGAGGAACAGTGAGGGAAAAAGGAAAGCTCAGTGTATGTTTTGACAGGCTCTTACCACGAGCAATGCAGGAGAGCAGCGTCGCTCACCCCGCAGGCAGGGGAGCACTGCTGAGCCACTGGGAAGGGAAAAGCTGCCCACTGCAGCACTACAGCCAACCCTGCAATTCCCCCAGGAGGCAGCAGCAGCATCCCAGGAGGTACATGGAACCCACCAAGAGTGACTGGTTTTACTCAAGTGACATTTTATCAAGCAGAAGTTTGTCATGCAGAGCCAACTTGGAGGTATTGGTAAGAAACGAGATTATCCACAAGCATCACCTCCTCCTTCCCTCAAAAACAAATAAATAAATAAAAGAGATGACCTGCTCCTTCAGTTTCAGCAGAAGGCTCAGGGAAGACAACATTCAAGC